ATATATGTATAAAGCATTGCAGAGAGTCAAAAAAAAATATAGACAGAACAAAGTTGTTTTTTTTAAATCTGCATTGGCACAGCTGTTACGATGCCTAAAATTTAAGAATCGATGGATAGCACAGAAATTAAGAGACCCATTTCAATGTTTAGCCTGTATGACGGGTGGAATAGTACATTACAGTTTTATAGAGCGAACCTATTTTTAATTTTCATTTTCAAAAATAGCATGGGATAAAAAAGCTTCAAAGTAATTCCTGCATGGGGAATGGTACAGGTGCATGTTAATACAGATCACATTATAGCAAAACTATTCGTTATACTAGTACCTTTAAAAATTCTTCCAATAAAAATCTATACGAAAAAAAGTCTAACATTCCTAATGATTTGTTGAGCGGGCATAAAAAAAATCGATGTTTGACCGCTGAGTGAGATGTTGAACCGGTCGATGAGATGTTGGACCGCTTACGTCATAGAATGGGCGGAGCTTAATAACCTTTTCATTCGTTGGTGTTCAAAAGTGAAGGACCCGAGGTTACAAAATGCGTACAAAATACATGTACGTAAAAAAAACTAGAGGTACTGTGAGCAATGAGCTCACTTTGGTTCGAGCCTCCCATAATGTCCATGTGTTGCTATATATATTGTTTTATGTATAATGTTTAACAAATTGATCAAATGTTATCCAGAAGCTACATGCATTTTATAGGTAAACAAAAAATTCTCTCTCTCTCTCTCTCTCTCTCTCTGAATAAAAGAGTAAAATAGGAGGTGCTGATGAAACATAAATTTGGTGAAAGTTTCATTAAATTTCACTCAGTAGTAAATAGTAGTGGTAATAACTTAAGAATACGGAGGTACTGTGAGTACGATGAGCTCATTACAGTATACCCTCCCATTTTTCAAGCGGGGGTTATAAAAAGAACATTCGTTATACCTGCGTAAATTATAAGGGTAGGAAAAGCCACATACGGACGTGATTTTGATTACTAGTAATTAAATTGCTCGCTGATCCGCACATGGCAGTTATTGATTAGTATTTATATAATATTGTTAATGGCCATTTCCTGCAAGAACCTAATTTACGGTGATCTAAAATGAAATGTCTGCAGTGTTGTTTGTGAAGAAATTATATAATTATGAGTGGACTTACATAATTTGAATTCTGGGAAGAAAAGTACATGTGTATGTCATCATGCAGAATGGGTCTGCTATTCTAAAGTATTTCAACACCCCCCCCCCCAAGAAAAAAAAAACAGATTCCAAAACTAGAGGTACTGTGAGCAACGAGCTCACTAAATGATACCCCCCGCCTCCCATATGATGATAATGGAAAAGTTCATGTTTTGCTGTGGCCGGGAAACCCAAATTATGTGTCGGATCAAAAAAGTAAAATAGGAGGTGCACAATGGCAATATGTAATAAAGATTTTGTGAAAGTTTCATTAAATTTCACTGAGTGGTATAAGAGGAGTTACGGATAAGAGATGGGTACCCCAAAGCGTAACAGACAGACGGACGGACGTACAGACGGACGGACGGACGGACATACCGATAAAAGTATACCCTCCCACTTTTCAAGCGGGGGGTATAGATATCGGATTTGTTTAGCTACTATGTATTTATGACCCTATTGTCAATATATCCTGCAATACATGGATTTCTCACGTAACCATATCAGTATAACTAGAGGTACTGTGAGCAATGAGCTCACTAAATAATACCCCCGCCTCCCATATGAATATAATGGCAGTATCCATGTTTTGCTCTGGAAAATTCAAAATATATGTCACATCAAAAAGTAAAATAGGAGGTGCACAATGGCAATATGTAATAAATATTCTGTGAAAGTTTCATTAAATTTCCTTCATTGGTGTGAGAGGAGTTGCAGATAAGAGAAGGGTACCCCAAAGCGTAACAGACGGACGGACGGATTGCGGACGGACGGAGTACCTACAGACGGACGGAATTAACGATTTTATTTCCCGCTTTTCAAGCGGGGGGGGGGGGGTATAATAACGCTTACAGTCAGTTTACTTTACGCTGAATAGTTCAATTTATATTCTACAGTCATAATCACTACTAGACTTTACCTAAGGAGAATAGATTTTACCAAATTTATGTTTCATCAGATAGATATTCAGAGAGAGAGAGAGAGAGAGATTGAGAGAGAGAGAGTTAACCATAAAATGCATGAAGCTTCTAGTAACAGTCAATTTGTTAAACATTATACATTTAATGACTAAGTTCGAGGGCAACATGCGTTTTGTCGGACCCTCGAACCAAAGTGTCTGCCTGAGGCCGTTAAGTTTAGGGTCGACAAAACGCATTTTGCCCGCGAACTTTATACCTTTCATTTTAATTTTTATACCCCCCGCTTGAAAAGCGGGAGGGTATATAGTGATCGGGATTTCCGTCCGTCTAGCTGTACGCCCGTCTAGCTGTACGTCCGTCCGTCTGTCTGTTACGCTTTGGGGTACCCATCTCTTATCCGCAGCTCCTTTTATATCACTGAGTGAAATTTAATGAAACTTTCATAGAATCTTTATTACATATTGCCATTGTGCACCTCCTATTTTACTTTTGATCCGACACATATTTTGGGTTTCCCGGCCACAGCAAAACATGGACTTTGCCATTATAACCATATGGGAGGCGGGGGTATCATTTAGTGAGCTCATTGCTCACAGTACCTCTTTTTTAACTTTTAGTTGTTGTCCCTTTTTATTCGGATTTTATACCTGTAGAATATGTTTTGTTTGTTTGTTTTTTTGTTTGTTTGTTTGACGTCCTTCAAGAATTTTTCACTGGTATTGAGACTGCAGCAGACCTGTTCGGGACCTCGGTTTTATAATAGTCTCATCCGAAGGACTGGTGTCTCCACGTCACGTGTAGAATTCATACCTGCGACGTAAGGATAAACTCGTTAAGCCGCGACTCAACGGCAACCCCTTTGACTCATCCAGACGACCTATACCATGATCTTTATTCCGGGAAATGTTAGTTCCAATATTAAATTCCTCCTAACTAAAAGGAATGCAATGAATCAATGCCAGCTTCGTATTTATATATTTAACTATGGAAATTTGTACTTAAGGTTAACAGACCCTCTGCTCTAGATTTCAATAAAACTTTTTTTAAACTTCCCAAGACCAATTTTCATCCAGAACTGACAATATAGAATAAAATGAAAAATAGTACGAGATGAAATATCAAATTATGTGCAATATTCCATTGAAACATTACAAATCAGGATCGACCAGTCCAGCAGGGCACACACAAACCCCTAAAAAGGTGGGATGAGGCATGAAGCTGCACTTGTATATAAATTTAATTCTGGACCATTGTGTGAGGAAATTTTCACGCAGACTGGGAGGAGTAATAATTCATCACGACACAAAATTAAGAATAAGGTGTATCGTACATTAAATGTTGAGGCTTACAAGTCAATGATGCGTATTGTAATGGGAACGTTAGGGTCTTGCTTGTCAATGTCAGTGCACCGACTTAATTCTGAGGATAAAATGTTGGATTCTTACGAATACAATAGCATGTACTAAGAGTAGACAGTTACGGTTGAAATGAAAAAAGCAAATTCAAAGAATTGTGGTCCCCTGGTTTCGATGTTTTAGTGAGACGCCATTACTTATGTCATATCATTTCAAATATGAATACACTATCATATTTCAAAAGTTCAAAAGTTAAAATTGTTGAAAATAAGGTCTAAAATGAAGGTCAAGGTCAAAGGCTTAAAACTCAGAGAATGCCCTTAAATCGAAAACAACTTACTTGGATATAATTTTTTTTCATTTTCTTTGAAAAAATACAAAAAAAATTCATATGAAATAATTAAGAGCTAATATCGGCCTTTCAATGCTGAAACCATTGTTTAAAAAGGATGACTCAGAGATCTATAAAATAAAAAGTTGGTGTGGCATTCCACCTTAAAAAGTCTCCAAAATCATAACTATATTTAGGAAGTCACACTGAGGTAATACATGTATACAGGCGGAATGTGAAAACCCTACCTCTTCTCTTTCAAAAGTTATACCCATTCACCAATTCAAAGTAATGTTAACATTCTTGTAAAGTGGATCAAACTTCAAGGTCAAGGGGTTAAAGGTGAGAGTATAGAGTATTTAGAAAGGTTTTTTTTTCACAGGTAACGTACATGTGAAATACATGTGAAATACAAACACATGACAAAAAAGGGGTTAAAATTTTTGCATAAGTTTCATGTTCTTCCTCTTGTAAATTTTTCAAAGCATCATATTCTTTCGTATTAAAACTTGTGGTATTGCATATCTCAGTCCAAACCACGATCCATGATTGATTTATAATATACTTCAATATTATCTAATTGTAATCATTCTGTAACACCCCCCCCCCCCTCCCCCAAGGGCCCTTGATTGGTGAATTCATAAACATAAAGTTCTAGCATAAAATTATTTGACAATGCATTGAATATTTCCTAATTTACTAAATTGGGAGAATATTCCATATTTGCTTACATTTGATGGTAGTTCTTGTTCAAATCTTCGAAACATACATGGATATACCCCCTTTCCATATTCCTGCTGTCCATGCAATCCTTTTAGCCGGTTATATTTTAATTGTTTCATTCACAAGCATATATTGCATGTAACACCTGCATGTGATGTCAATAAAACCCCAACTAATCTTAATTAAGTTCTGTAGTGTTTATAACAAGGAATTGTTTAGTAAATAATCTTATACATATATTACACAGATTCTACTTATAAAATTATGTATATGCATAGCCGAAGAACTCGCTCCATTGAGGTATCAGACGTGTGGATCCGCCCCCTCTGACTTACATATTCATATATATAAATATTTTTTGTTTACAATTGTACTTTATATAGACGGTGAAGTCGAGCACACAAGTTTAGACTGGACTGTCCATATGATTGTGTACGTTACCGTTTGTTCTCGGGTCACACTTCTAGGTCACGCGTAAACTGACCTACTTTTTGTACATACCTGCGCGAGCTATTCTTTAGTTGGCCAGGAAACGCGAGTTATTGACAATTCTATATTAATTTCTCATATTGTAGGCATGAGCTATAGTTGTTATTGATTCGGAAGATTCGGGGTTTGGATTAAAGTGAAGCAGGTATGTTTTGCTGTTGTGCATATGTGAAACAAAATGACGAAAAAAGGCCTCGGTTGTTATGTGGGTCCTCCATATCTAGGTCCAAATGACGAAATTTTTCAGTTAGTTGGGCAGATAACCACAACACTGAAAATTTTATGGTGATTTCTGTAAATAATGTATGAAAATGACATTCTGTTTCTTTGAGCGTCACGTCAGTATAGTGTCGTTTCGTTTAACTTAGGTCTACACATTTTTAATAACATATATTTATATTATCTTTAATTTATTGTAATTATCTCCTTACGTTTTTATCAAACTATATGAATTTGGTCTAGACCTATAGTTTAAAATTTATAGATTAAAATCGTGTGTAGAATATACATTTGTTGTCATGACACTGAGAATCCATTTTTTTTCTATCACTGCATAGTGTGAAAGGGTCTGTGATTAAATTTGAAAATGATATTCCTAGCACTACAGAATATAGATTTTATCATTCAGCTAGATAGGGCAAACAATTTTAGATGATATGATATTATTTAAATGTACATATATGCAGACAAACCGTGTTATATCTCGAACTTACTGGATAGAACTTAAGAAAAATCAATTACAAGAACCCATTAAATTATTCTTAGGAGTAAGACTGGAACAGAACTTTATAAAATGTTTCCATAAAGATGTCCATGGTATTCAAGATTTTAGGGCTGGATGTTGCCTCTAAATTTAAAAGTGGGATATACTGCAATATTTAAAAATATGTACAGACCACTATAATGATAAAGCAACCCAGTGTATTGCAATATTTTTAATAGAAAACAAAAATACACTTTTCTTGTTTTATAAGCTTAATATCAGTGTTTGAGGTACTAATCTATAATTATGTGTTGTAAACAATGTATAATCAAGATATTTTATTGGGATTTTGTAGTTTGACACCCCCTAAGTTGAGCTTGTTAATGAATTCTACATAAATGCTCTGTTCAGAGGAAAAAGGCAAAAAAAAAAAAAAAAAAAAATTGAAATATAATATATATGAAGGAATGTATGATGGCATAAATCTTCTTTTTGAATCGATAAATAGAAACCAGCAGCTTATTAAATGATTTTCTCTAGTGCAATACTTTGTTTATGAAAATTAGAGCTCATTTTGTACATGGATTGTACGTCTACAGACTGGAAAATGTCTATTCCTAGACACCATAACTTGGCCCTCTTGTGAGCTGCACTATAGGAATCAACAAAGCATGCAATTCATACATTTTATATCTATGTACATTCTCTATCTAACTTAAACATGTATAAATACTTGAATTTATACCGAAGGCATTGAATCACCTTCTTTCAATGCTATGGACGTACTATTCATATTGGAAATAAAACATACAGAAAACAGAAATACATGTATACAAGAGGTCAATCTATGATTTTATTAACCAGATAACAATATATTTTATTATATGCTTGAATAATTTCCACCTCTCTGATTGGCTGAGATCCAACTATGTTAGAAAAATACTACGTTGTATTGACCTGCACGTGACGTTCCAGGTCAATACAAGGATTTATTTCCTCTACATTGATCTAAAAATAGATTGGAAAATTCCAAATTGATACAAATTGTTTTTGAAAGCCATTTAAACTACTATGACTTTTTTTCATGTGAACAAAACAATCGATTATATATTTTCGGGTGAGGGTGGTAAGAGGGGATGCAGAGACACCCCTCCAACACTTTTACTGAACAACAATTTTTACTTTTTTGGCAGTCTGTTTTCCCTGATAATAATCCTTCCTTTAAAAATCTATCCTAAAAAAACTGACATATTTTTTTCCATAGCAACAAAAATTGATTAAAAAAACTTTATTAAAAAAAAAGAAAATAAATAAGACCTGTAAGGTTGATTATCATTTTAATTCTGCTTCTCTTAATTGTATTTGGATAGGACTTAATTAAATGCAAACAAGTAATGGGTTTTATCATTTTATTAGTGAATCATATAATAAAACAGTTACCCTTTGGAAATCAAACAAAATGTTATAGTATATATGATCATCATCACTAGTTGAGTAAATTCATTGAAATTATCCAACATTCTTGAAATCTTTCAAAAGTTTATGTTTCACATTCCAGATTAATATAACATATACTGGTATTTTTTTCTACCTTGCACCAAAATTAGACCAGCTAAGACACATAGGAACTGCAATATCAATAATTAGCTATTGTTTGGTGTTGGCTTTTTAAATTTTCTTGAGGAGGTAAATCACCATATTGACTTTTAAGAAACAGCACTATATGGTAGCTACATGTACGAATGTTATATGGACCAAGGACCAAGTCTACATGAGGCTGATATTTTGTTCTTGATTAGTAGGGATGGGTATTGCCATAAATTTTGTATCGCGATATATCACGATTTTTTTTCAAAAATATCACGATAATATCATGATATTTTTACAAGAATTTTTACAATGATTTTAAACGAATAGTCGTTATTTTTCTTAAAAATATGCTAAAAAAAAAAAATTCAATTTTTTTTATTTTTTTTGTACATAAAATTAATAATGTCTGAATGGTACATTGCCATTCTTTTCACCTTTTACACCATTTTAAAGACTTTTTATTGTATTTTGAAAGATTGAACAAATAAATGAATAATTTCTGGACTTTATAATATGTACCTAAATACCGGTATTTAGGTCTCCGTATCACGATATGTATCGCGCAACAAAAAATCGCGGTATACCAGTATGCCGATAAAATCGCACATCCCTATTGATTAGTCATAGCAATAAAGTCAGTGTCATATCCTCATTTACAATTTCTATATTTTACCTTTTTAGTAGATTTAGCTTCCCTAGCTACCCACAGGCACCAAAATGAATAGTAAAGAGTTATAGACAATGTTATAAAATTTCTAAATGTCTTAATGGTGTCTGCTCCACCCCTCCCCCAACCGATAAATCCTGGATCCTCCCTTTGGGCATATTTCTAAAAGATGTGTTTTCCAATTCTTTTAACATGTTTAAATGTGTTCTTTCAGATCACACACAAAGACTTTACTATGAACTTTCTTAGACAAAGTATATTTGTGTCCATCAAATAGTTCCTTTCCTTGAAGGGATTTAAACCTAAACTGTACGTCTGTTTATGTTTAATTGAAAAGACGTGTCTTGGTAGGTGGGGAATCTTTAAATTCTGAGAATCCCTTATTGATCAAACTTAGCCCCAGTAATTATTTTTTATCAATATATTGTCTTTTGTTGTCTTTGGACGTGTACCTATTCCAAGGAGGATTTGCAAGGAATACCTTGTTAGATAAAGTAAAAATTCAAATGCAAGAGAACTAGTGTACAGTAACATCCCAGGCTGAGTGTGTCCTGAACAGCCTAGCTAGGCCTCCACATTATTTAAAATGAAATATGCACGTAGCGGAATAAAGAGCATTGCAGAATTTTGAGATTTTTCAAAGACATAAAAAAATAATAAATTTCTTTAAAAACTTGTATTTTTAAATTTAGTCCTGTGTTATTTTGTTCATGCTGATAATGGATATTATTTTAAAAATGTAGTAGACCAGAAACTTAAAAGAAAGAATGCAACTTCTGGTAAATCACTTGGATCACTTGGATTGAATGTACATTATACAATTATATATTTAAAGCAACTTTTTCTAGTAGGGTTATTTAATTAATAATCAATGAAAATGGTCTTTAAAATTCAGATTTTGATCTCTAAATATAATTTTGCAATCTCCATGCTGATGTTAAGATAAATTGGAGTCTAACTGTAAGTTATAAAGCTGGACTAAAACAAGGTGTAAAACATACATCAACCATTACTTAATTATTATAATGAGGAACCATAAGAAATAAATAGTATTAGGTCATGTATATACTGAAAAACACAAATAAAAAAATAAATTCTGTAAAATGGTAAAAGCAAAAGTATTCATTGGAAATTAAGTTTTGTTTAATCCGATTTCAACAAATCCCATATAAAAATTTTTAATGACTATTTATTTAATAGAATTACTTTTGAAACAACAAAAATGCCCATAAAACCTTTAAACTGATAGATGACAAATCAACAAAATTTTATCCACACAAAATTATGGGCCTATACATTATGATATCATATAATTTTATCATTTCAAAGATTTGAACATATTTTATCTACATCCATCAAACAAAATTTATTGAGCAAATTAAGAGTCTTTATTATTCTTATTTGGCTGAAAATTTCTTGTCCATTATTGCATGGTTTTGGGGTTGATGCCCAAGTCTAAAATTAATAATTCTTGAAAAATCTTTCCATCTGCGGAACTTCTACCTTATAATTTGCCAGCTGAATTACAGTGGTGTGTGTATACTGATTCTGTAATCTGATGAGCTGGCAGTTATATTGTATGACACCCATAATAACTGTCTCTGATTATTTATAATATACAGTATTCAGCTCCTCAATGTACAGCAGAGTGGGCTGATTATCATGGCAATTCTAATTCTATAATGACCTGTCAGTACAGAAAATCAATATTTTTGTTTCAGAAACCTTTCAGGTACATGTAGTTTAAAATTCAATAAAGTTCACTAAAATGTCATTCACTGTTACATGTAAGGAATATTTAAAATGAAGAGTAAACAGGATGATCTAAAAATGGACAACAAATAGCAATTTAAATTATATAGTGGAATGAATATATGGGAAAATCTATAATTAAACATCTTATTGTCAGAAACAGCAAAGCCTTGATAATATATATACTTATTTATATGGAATCATCTTCAGGTTGTGGAGCTACAAGTTTGTTCAAATCGGGACCTCTGGGGTAAGGATGGAACCACAATAGGCTATCAAATTTTTTTAATTGTAGGAATGTATTTGGAAAAAATCTGTAAAAATCATCTCCTCCAAAACAGCTGACTTAATCTAAGTCATAATGCATGCTGATCGATACATGTATGTAAATTGATCTTCCGATAGTTTATTAATATTCATATCTTTGCCCCTTGGGGAAGGGTCAGGGGTCACAGTATGTGATTAAAGATTCACATAGGGTTATATGCTGTAATAAACCTGTTATTGAAGAAAAGCAGGGCCACAGTGATTCAGGTAAGCATTGTGGCCCATGGGCCTCTTGTTTTAGTTGAAGAGATTCCCTTGCATTTGTCACTTAAAGTACTCTAGAATAAGTTTGTAGAAGTCTTTCAAGTCTCAGCTTCGCTTTGATTTCAATAAAGTTTGAAATGATTGATTTGATCTCTAAATGTACAATTTAAAATGTTTCAATTAAATTTTTCTATTCCAGTTATAAGAGCTACAATCTCATCCGAGACTTTTCTTTACAGAATGCCCCACGGTGCTATCCGGTTTCCGTTCGGGAAGTGTCATGTATGTCAGGATCAGGCGACTGGGGTCCACTACGGCGTCGCGACGTGTGAAGGCTGCAAGGTACAAACCCTTATCTTCTCCACAGTTTCCTTTCTAAGAACAAACTGAAAAAAAGGAACACCGAACCTTGTTATTCAGTTGCTGTGATATATATGTATTATTATTAATTTTTATGGTCAACAAGGTGATTTAATCAACTGAGAAGAACATAGTAATTTTACAGAATTTAGCTAGGGATGTGGAAAATGTTTTTCAAGAATACAGGTTGATGAGTATTTTGATGAAAGGAAATTAAATAATTATCTGATGATTCATTGCAATGTCTCCTACCATGGGTAAAACTGTCTCTGTTGGTAAGGCTGGTTTCTCCATGTGTGATGGATATTTGTCTCGCCCATAGTCCAATTATCACATGTATGTAAAAACAAATGTTTAAATTGAAACACATACTGTGAAATCAAATGATAAACAATAGTCGTGTATCCTATTGCCATTGGGTATCATGCCAATTTAAACCTTGCTGTGGCTCAGCTGGGTATTTTATTATGTAGCATGTAGCATCCACATCAAACACCATTGCAAACAAAACATGTCTGGTCAACTGCTCAATGACAATATTTAGGAAGAATAATTGCACCAAGATAAGATGTGTCTAATTTTCAAAAAAGTTAAAATAATATGGTTGAGGTCGTCTTTGGGGAAAAAAGGTGAAATTCGTCTTGCTAGGTTTAAAAAATTAAGTGAAAGAGAATTATTTGAGTTTCTTTGTGGCTGAAGCAGTTCCTCATAATAAATGTTAACTTACTCAAAACCTTATTCACATTTTAATAAAGGTTATAGGGTCTATCATGGTGCAGAAAAGAAAATCATAAGATTTTATAAGGGTCGTAAATAAGAGCAGAGCTTGAAAGAATATGACAGTGTTCATGAAATTCAGGTGAACATTAAGGCCCACGGACCTCATGTTAATTAGTTTATGTTTTCATGGTTTTCTTGTTTGGCGTGTGTCCCTTTGTGTCTTACCATAATAACTGTGTTACCATTATAATTGTGTTTTTTCTCTGAAAATGTTTTCTGTAATTTATGGACACCAGTTTAAAATTGCTGGTTTTATTTTTGAAGGGATTTTTCAAAAGAAGCACAATAAGGGGAGAGAAGTACAAATGTTTCTTTGGAGGGCAGTGTGAAATAACGCCTCAGAATCGGAATCGCTGTAAATCCTGTCGATTCCGACTATGCCTAGAAAGTGGAATGTCATTAGAGGGTAAGGAAATTTCTTTATTTTAATCAACATGGCCTCAAGAACATAAACTGAGAATGGACTGCAATAATTTCAATAATGAAATAAAGTTTTCACCATATGTTTATAACTAAAAATGATATATATACAGAATTGGAAACTTTTAACCAAATATGTTAAACAATACTCAAGATAACAAAAATCTAAAGTTTTATTTAAGTCTAGCTGTTCTCAGTTTAAGGACTTGGGTCCTGACTTATTGTGACAAATCTCACCTGGGGTTAATTTCCCCCCAAAGCTGCTGTAAACTTACAGTTTTTAGGTCACCTGAGTAAACTCAGGTGACCTATTGCTATCCGTTTTTGTCCGTCGTCCGTCGTGCGTTGTGCGTCGTGCGTCGTGCGTTAACATTTAAACATTTTCAGCTTCTTCTCTGAAACCACTGAACCAATTTCAACCAAATTTGGCATATAGCATCTATGGGTAAAGGGGAACAAAAATTGTGAATTTCGTGGTCCCCGCCCCCCTGGGGCCTGGGGGGTGGGGCAAAAACCACTAAAAATAGTGCAATCTTTAAAAATCTTCTTCTTTACTCCCGGACATCAAGCAGTCAAACTGTTGGTATGATTGTAATCAGCATTGAGTCCTCTACCAAAATTTTGAAATTCATGGCCCCAGGGTCAGGAGTTTTGGTGTTATTCTATTGATTATATAGTGAAAATGCAGTAAGTCTTTAAAAATCTTCTTCTCTGCTCCTGGGTATTAAATAAACAAATTAAGTTCATAGTTATGATGAGCAAGAGTGGCTCTACCAAATTTGTGAATTTTATGGCCCCAGGGTCAGGGGTTCTGGTGTTAGGGCGGGGTTCTATTGATTATATAGTGAAAATGCATTATTTCTTTGAAAATCTTCTTCTCTGTTCCTGAGTATTAAATAAACTAATTAAGCACATAGTTATGATGAGCAAGAGTGTCTCTTCATAAATTGTGAATTTTATGGCCCCAGGGTCAGGGGTTCTGGTGTTAGGGCGGGGCTCTATATTGATTATATAATGAAAATGCATTAAATCTTTGAAAATCTTCTTCTCTGCTCCTAGGTATTAAATACACTAATTCAGTAAATAATTATGATGAGCAAAAGTGCCTCTACCAAAATTGTGAAACTCATGGCCCCAGGGTCAGGGGTTCTGGTGTTAGGGCAGGGCTCTATTGTTTATATAGTGAAAATGTATTAAATCTTTGAAAATCTTCTTCTCTGCTCCTAGGTTTTAAATAAACTAACTAAGTACATAGTTATGATGAGCAAGAGTGCCTCTTCCAAAATTGTGAATGCCTTAGCATAGCTTAAAACATGAAACAAATTCAATCAAAAGTTGTTGCATGATGCTCAGGTGAATAAGGCCCTTGGGCCTCTTGTCTGTTTGTAACATCTTAACCAACGTTTTTAAATAAACTAACTAAGTAAATAGTTTTGATGAACAAGAGTGCCTCTACCAAAATTGTGAAACTCATGGCCCCAGGGTCAGGGGTTCTGGTGTTAGGGCAGGGCTCTATTGTTTATATAGTGAAAATGTATTAAATCTTTGAAAATCTTCTTCTCTGCTCCTAGGTTTTAAATAAACTAACTAAGTACATAGTTATGATGAGCAAGAGTGCCTCTTCCAAAATTGTGAATGCCTTAGCATCTAGCTTAAAACATGAAACAAATTCAATCATTTGAAAGTTGTTGCATGATGCTCAGGTGACCTATAAGGCCCTTGGGCCTCTTGTCTGTTTGTAACATCTTAACCAACGTCAGACTGATATTGAACTTCATCACGTAGCGGAGATTTTAATTTCTTGAACTGGTAGCCCTCTGCAGGGACTTAAATTAAAGACATATTTATACCTTGAATTCAGTAGAACATGGTAGAAATACTTTGAAATATATTAAAGAAAATAATTCAAGTACATGTATTTATAAACAGATGAATGAGCCCTTTTATGATTGAGATTATTTTGTTAATTTTGTGCATAACCGTAAGGAAATGGTCACATTTCCATCCTAAAATAAACATTTTTAAAAATGCTTTTCACCTGATTTTGTTATTGATATTTTTAGGTCACTTGAGTAAACTCAGGTGACCTATTGCTATCCGTTTTCGTCTGTCGTCGTGCAGTGTGCGTCGTGCGTCGTGTGTTAACATTTGAACATTTTCAGCTTCTTCTCTGCAACCGCTCAACCAATTTCAACCAATTTTGGCATAAAGCATCTATGGGTGAAGGGGAACAAAAATTGTGAATTTCATGGTCCCTGCCCCCCCTGGGGCCTGAGGGGTTGGGCCAAAACCACTAAAATTAGTGCAATCTTTAAAAATCTTCTTCTTTACTCCTGGATATCAAGAAGTCAAACTGTTGGCATGATTGTAATGAGCATAAAGTCCTCTACCAAATTGTGAAATTCATGGCCCCAGGGTCAGGGCTTCTTGTGTTAGGGTGGGGCTATATAGATTATATAGTAAAAATGCATTTATTCTCTGAAAATCTTCTTCTCTGCTTCTGGGTATTGAATAAACTAAGTAAATACATAGTTATGATGAGCAAGAGTGCCTCTACCAAATTTGTGAATTTTATGGCCCCAGGGTCAGGGGTTCTGGTGTTAGGATGGGGCTCTATTGATTATATAGTGAAAATGCAGTAATTCTTGGTAACCAAACTAAGCAATTGCTAGGTGTATAGTTATGATGAGCAATGATGCCTCTTTCAAAATTGTGAATGCCATATCATCTATCTTAAAACGTTAACCAAATTCAATCATTTGAAAGTTGTTGCATGATGCTCAGGTGACCTATAAGGCCCATGGGCCTCTTGTTATTTTCAATGATCCATTTCGAAACTTTCCATATAATTATCATGACATTTTGTTCTTGTTAATGCTCTTATAAATCATTAAACATTGTAACCATGGATACTGGACCAATTTTTTAGAAGCCATTTTATTTGGTTAATGAGTAAAAATGTTTTTGTGAAGCTCATTTCACTCTTTGGTACAGTAATTAAGCTGAATATACCACTTTCTTGATTGAAATAAATACTTTTTCTTAAAGGAGTGATGAAGTGAGACAGACAGATGGACGGGCGACTACTGTAAACCTTACCAAACTTGTTGCACAGAGTATAGTTATCGTAATAATGGGAATTAGCATTATAGAAATATCTAAGAAATAAGTTATCTTTTCTAAACATCTTTCGGGATATAAATATGGGTTGGTCACATGATCAAATTCCATAAAGCCTGAAGGGCTTTATGATGAATTTAATCTTGTACCAACCTGTGTTTATAGCTCGATAGATGTTTTAAAATGATATCTTATGACTTACCGGTATATTTACATTTGTGACTTATTCACATGTTATATTTGCCTGATTATGACTTTTAACGCGTGAAATGTTTTATTTCTTATCAACGGCATATGCGTACGGTAATCCATTGAATGCGTGTTGATCCTTTATGAAGTCACTCAGATATTACGTAGAACGTTTATGACGTTTGAGGAACCTGTATTTATATAGGCCCCTAGTTATAGATATGCATTGCTTTCAGTAGTGTTATGTAAAGGAAAATATTTGCTTTATGTAAATATATAGAAATAAACCCCTCTCTCTCGCTCCCCACCCCCAACAAAAAAGATAAAATATGGATTTGTTTGATTAGCACAGAAATATTATTGTCATAAGTAAATTGTGTTAGATGTGATCATTGTCAAAAGAGCTTGTAAATACATATTACTTGAGTCAACCTTGTAAAAGATGCATTAAATGTGCACATATTTTAAATGTGTTTGTCTTTGATATAAGGTTTGCAAGCAAAGAAACAGAATTGATAAATGGTTCGTTTTTTCTTTACTAAGCTGTGAAGATGGGCAGAATCCCAAAGCTGGAGAAAGAACGAGCTCTGGAACTGGCCAGTCAGGAGGGGAAACTCAGCGAGGAGGTCAACAGAAAGTTCAAAATTCAGAAAAGTAGTGACAGCAAAAACGGTAAAAAGGACTCATCCGAAACAAAACTGTTTTACAACTCCAGTAATGTTCCGATGGGTCCAGAGTCCTCTTTCAGCATTGGTAAAGAGAATCCTCAAATGTTTTATCATTCAGAAGCTGCAGGGATGACAGGCAGGTCCTTTGAATGCATCAGTCCACCCAGTTCAGACATGTTCTCTGATTTTGGGAAGCATAGAATGGTAGAACATCAGAAGTCCCTGGACTCTTCCAGTGATTCCTTTAAGAGTGATCTCCTCCCCGAGTGTGCCAGCTCCCCCGAGGATGGCGCTGTCTGGGCGCTACATCCTCCTCACCCAGCAACAGTATTTGATTCTAGTCACGTCCCATCCACTTCTTCATCCCTCCCTGAGTCTTTTGGCATGAGACCCCCCATGGAAAGTTCCACAAACTTTGCAAAATTCAAAACAGAATTCCCTACATTCTCTGATAGTGGTACCCACAGACACCCATCTGACAGAAGTAGCTCAGATTCACTGAAAAATTGGGACCACCATCAGTCCATTGGCCCCCAGCCCCTTCAGAGCGGTGATCATGTAAATCATTCTGTTGGCAGTTCACACAGAGAGAGAAAGGACATGCAATTCAGCCCGGGTTCGATGGACTACGACGAAATCATGAAGGGTAGGTTATTTCCCTCGTCGGAGGCAGGTAACAGCTCGCTGGCCTCAGCCTTAAGTAAACCTCAATATCTCAGTTCCTCAGCCTCAGCCTTAAGTAAACCTCATTATCTCAGTTCCTCGGCCAGTAGTGAAGCTATGGAATGGGAGAACAAAATTCTAGGAAAACTACAACTCAATGATAATAGCTTTAAAACGGAAATCAACACGTCTGATGTTTATGCACCTATTCGGAATCACTACAAATATCTTTGTGACGTAGATCAGTTTGGGATATATAACAGACTTCCTCTATACATTCAGACCTTGCAGCAGCTGGATGTTTGTCAGAGGAATGGCATGCTTGTCAAACTCCTGGAGGTACCCACAGACATGATAGACAAGATCTGTAAGTCCCTGGCCATGGAGGATAAGTACGCTGTCAGTAAGGAGGGGGTAAACATGGGGAAAGATTCCACGTTCCTCATCCAGGGAACACTCCTAAGGCTCAAACATTCCATGGACCTTCTCTGGAAGCCTATCTGGCTCATGAGGCAGTTTATCCGACAAGGACTCTCAAGCGAGGTAAAATTGTCAAGTTGTTAGACTTGGCAGCTTAATTAACAGTATAAAGCATTTATCAGTATTTTCAAGTAGTGTACCATTGCCTCTGCCATTTTAAAGTAATAGGTTAAAAATGTTGATCATGGACAAGACAGGTAGAGTGTATCAAGTAAATTCTTTTTTTTTTGGCCTTAGCAATTAATTTGAACGTTTTTTTTTAAAATGGCAATCAATTTCATAATGCACCACCAATAAAGAATTTTCAAATGTAATACAATATCTTGAATATAAACCAAGGTGTAATATTATACTATCATGTAAAATAGTTGAATATGATTCAGTGAAAAACATTATGTTAACACTGAATGATGAAACCCTCTACCTTCACAAAGCTAGGCAACAGCCAACATTGCTTGACGACAGGTGATATTCCCCAAAAACTAAATTAACTGGCACACAACTACATGCAATTAACTATTTAAATGATAGTGCTGCTACATTTCTAAAATGAAGTCTTCACAGAAAAAAACATCTTTGAACAATTAAGAGACATACAAAGATTTATTCCTTTAAACATAGTTTTCTTCTCAAATTTTTGCTTTCTCACAGTTTTCAAATACTGTAAACATATTACATATGGCTGTATATTCTATTTAGCACCTTTCTCAGAAAGCAACTTGCACAGAATCAAGTCACTAGCTGCTAATTGTGTTGTGTATACATGTATATGTTTGTGTAAAGCATTATAATTCAAGTAGCACTTAATCAAATCGACTCTTACTTGTTAAAGATTCAATTTGCATCAAATAGCGTACAAGTCAAATAAAACACATTTACAGTACATTAATTATATTTTATAAGGAAAAAATTGATGGTAATTATTTCTGTGTATTTTTCAGCCCTGTCATTTTCAGTTTACTGGAGTAGATGAGGAGAGTATGCAGGAAAACTGGCCGGCCCTGATGCAATCCGTGGCATTCTACAATGATGTCATTATTGGTAGGTGTATATATATATATTTACATCCACTGAATATTTTCTTCTTTATCTCTTAAGAAAACCCATTGCGTTCATCACTGCATGAACTACATTAGGCATATCACCTGTACAGATTTCTTGATCAGTGGCCGTTCCATCAATGAAACGTACAAAGACGTTCGCATCATTAACACAATAATTAATATTTTTAATCCTACTTAAAATGATAATTTAAACAGATATAAATATAAACAATAAAATGTCTTTCTTTGTTTGTTATTACTGGAATGAACGCAGAAATTTTGCAGAAAAAATTTACATAACCCGCTTACGCGGGTTATGTATTTTTTCTGCAACAGCTGCTTCCGTTCATTCCAGTAATAACAAACAAGGAGAGCATTTTATTGTTTAAATAAAATAAAACTTTAAGCAAAAGTTGATATGAAAGAGGATTAACATTTAAAAGAAATTTAGTATTATTTGATAATATGTTAACAGCTCGATGAAAGGTGAATTTAATCTTGTATATATTTCTTAAAAAGCCATGACCTTAAAAAGAACTTTGACAGTCAGTCTCAATATGTACAACATCAGGTCAAATTCAGATGACTTTGTCTGATGAACATAAAAACTCAATCAGAGATACAGTCATTAAATGTTACACAAGTTCTCATGATCTTCAGGATAAAAATACGAATTGAACCTATCAGTGTTATACAGTAAATATATACCATGAATATTGTATTTCAGGTTTTGCATTTGCGTGTCCTGGTTTCAGAAATTTACAGCCTGATTTAAAGGAGTATCTTACAAAAAGAGCATATTTTGATATTTGGGTGGTAAGTAAATGAAAGGAACTTGTTCAGTTTGAGGTAAATGTTAAGTATCTGTCCACTTTCCTATCAGTCTAGGAGTTGGAGTTTTACCATTATGTTGGTTGTTTTACTCTAAGGACTTTTCCCTGTTTTGTTCTTTATTGGGCAAGTGATTCATCTTTCTGAATCTGTTTCATTTTCAACCACACTTCAAGAATAGCTGGATCAATGATCATCCAATTTCCTTTCTTCGGTAGAAGGTTAGAAGTTTGTCAAGATTAGTCAAATGATAGAGCTTAATTTTGTCTCTTGGGGGGTCAATAAAGAAACAACAAAAAGAGATTGGTTTTAAAGATCCATGTCGGTATCTCAACACATTAAAAAAATGTAAAAGATTGGCCACCTGTGAAGTGTGATTATCTTAATATATTCCCTATAATTAAACCAGTAATTTTCTTTGTTACAGTTGACTATGGCAGATTTCTGCATTGATGGTAAATGCCACTTTCCTCTACCGAGTACAAAAGTCTACACCAATTGTACTATGAAAAAAATTTTGAAAGAGAAGACATTTGTGGAAATTCAGAGTGTTCTTGAGAAGATCAACAAATGTCAGCTGTGTGATCTAGAGATAGGCCTTTTGTGTGCCATCCTCCTTATAGACGCAGGTATGATGGGAAAAACTAGTGCATTCTGGGATAATTTGATGAATTGTCTAAGAATAACAAAATGAATGTTTTGCCTGAACTTGTTTCATTTTGCTGTGATTTTTCCTCTGTATTTTAGATGATGACAAGCTAACGAGTAACTCCAGCATGAACTTGGAACCTCTGAGGACTCTCCATTCCCATTACTTAGACATCCTAGCGACGGTCATCTCCAAGATCCACACCACTCAGACGACCAAACGACTCAGGGACATCTTCAGCCTCACCCCCCTCATCAAAAAACTCTCCACTCGACTACAGCTTCAGATCACCTCCTACGGAGTGGAGGAGATTCCAGATGAAGGTCAGTACTCCTACAATTTGACCTGATTAGAGAGATGCTCTAGAATATGACCTTGATTAAGGTCCAAGAGGGCTTGAACATGCTCTACTATTTGACCTTGATTAGAGAGATGATCTAGAACTTGACCTTGATAAAGGTCCAATAGGGCTGGATTATGCAGAATAATTTGACCTTGATTAAGGTCCAATAGGGTTGGAGTGTGGTACTATTTAACCTTGGTTAGAGAGATGCTCTAGAACTTGACCTTGATTAAGGTCCAAAAGGGTTGGAGTGTGCAGAACAATTTGACCTTGATTAAGGTCCAATAGGGCTGGAGTGTGTGGTACAATTTGACCTTGATTAGAGAGATGCTATAGAACTTGACCTTGATTAAAGTCCAAGAGGACTTGAGGATGCTCTATGGGCTTATATAGGGGTGTTTGTCTTGTTTGTCTGTATGCCAGTTTATCAACAGGTGTTCTCAAATGATGCTCTTTAGAATTCTCATGGAATTGATGGTTGTCTGTAAAAGTTTTTGAATTTTAGGAATATGAATAGAGAAAACAGTAATCATGAATTAAGTGCAGCATCACAGTACTTGTTATTTAGAAGCAATTAGTCATTTTCTCGTAAAGACACATAAAACCATTAAAACAAAATAGTCCATAGTAAGGCCAAAAAAAATTGATCAATAGTTTCTTGCTAAGGTAGACATTTTTATTAGAAAAACAATGAATTTCTTCTAAATTTACAATATTTTTATGCCCCCCGCAAACAAAGTTTGGGGGGGTATATAGGAATCACCTTGTCCATCTGTCCGTCTGTCTAGCTGTCCGTCTGTCTGTGCAATCGTGTCCGGTCCATATCTTTCTTACAGAGGGACATTAGAATCTACTACTCCACACTTAGATTGCTCATGACCTAAGGGTGTGTCATGACCTTGACCCAAGGTCACTTAGGGAAGTTCAAGGTCACTGGAAGAAAAAATTGATAATTCGTGTCCGGTCCATATCTTTTTTATTGATAAACTTGGTAGGTTTTCATTTCACACAAAGATTGCCCATGACCCATGGGTGTGTCATGACCTTGACCCAAGGTCATTTGGGAAAGTTCAAGGTCACTGGAAGAAAAATTTCATAATTTGTGTCCGGTCCATATCTTTCTTATGGATAAACTTGGTAGGTTCCAATTTCAAACAGATTGCCCATAACCCAAGGGTTTGTCATGACCTTGACTCAAGGTCATTTGGAGAAGTTCAAGGTCACTGGTAGTAAAATTTCATGATTCGTGTCCGGTCCATATCTTTCTTATGGATAAACTTGGTAGGTTCTCATTTCACACAAAGATTGTCCATGACCCAAGGGTGTGTCATGTTGACCAAGGTCAACGTCATTTGGGGAAGTTCAAGGTCACTGGAATAAAAATTTCATGAGGGTGTGTCATGTGACCCAAGGTCATTTCCGGTCACCATATCTTTCTTATGGATAAACTTGGTAGGTTCTCATTTCACTCAAAGATTGCCCATGACCCAAGGGTGTGTCATGACCTTAACCCAAGGTCATTTGGGGAAGTTGAAGGTCACTGGAAGTAAAATTTCATAATTCGTGTTTGATACATATCTTTATTATGGAAAAACTTCTGAAAAACCCAGCGGGGGGTATTTTGTCCCGTTTGGACAGTTCTAGTATGAATTAACTTTTAAATAAATGTTTAGAATAACCTTATTTAAAGTTAAAAACATATTATAACTAACTTTAGAGAACAAAAATTAAGAATTAACAGACATTATCATTTTAATGAACAAATGGCTGAAAAAAGGTGTAAAACCTGCTCCAAAAAAAAAAAAAAAAAAAAGCCTGCCCGCTGCATTGAATTTCGAATTTTTTGGCCTGAGAAACTATTGATTAATTTTTTTGGCCTAATAAATGGAAACTTGACATTCCTCACCATTTTCTTGTTAATTCTATTAGATATGAGAATTTATTAATCATGCAAAACATTGCAGATGACCAATTGAAAGTATTTAAAATTCACATGTAATATTAATTACAACATTAATATGACACATGGTGATAATTAATCCATAGGTTCACATTATAAAACATGCAGCAAAATCAAGGATGGAATATTTTTTAAAAAAGGAGTCTGTTGGGGGATGGGCATAAATGAAAAATGTGTTGTATTGATTTTTTTCAGTAAACATTTTGCTTGTCATTAGGCTTTTTTTTTTAGCTAATATGAGCCGAAAGTTCACAATAAAGGAATCGAAGTTTTACATTGAAATATAATTGGAAAAGTCCTCTCAAGAACCACAGCTGACATTTTTCATGGATTTTGAATTTATAGATGTTTTCATCATATGCCAGACAGCTGGAGAGCTTTTTAGCTCACCTGAGCTGAAAGCTTTAGAGAGCTTTTCCGATCACCGGTTGTCCATTGTCCTCCAGATCTGTCTATCGAGGTGTAAACTTTTCACATTTTGAACCTCTTCTCAAGAACCACTGGGCCAATTTTAACCAAACTTGGTACAAAGCATCCTTTGTTGAAGGGTAGTTTAAATTATTAAATTATTAAAATGACAAGAAAATACAAATAAGGTGGGGTCATTAAATTATTCAAATCATGACCCTAGGGGGTTAGCGTTGGGCCACAATAGGGAATCAAAGTATATATCACAAGGGGAATACTGTAACCCAACTATTATTTGAGTCATCTTTTATTCATGATTTATTAGTTTGAAATCGGTCAATGACGATTAATTTTCATGACTGTGGAAATATTAAAAACAAACATAGAGTAAAGTTCATGGTTTGCATTGATTAATATTCGCGGGCTAAAGTAAGTTGCAAAACTTGCAGGTATTTCTCGTACAAGCATAATAGTTGGTTTACAGTATCTGATGAAAAACAGTAGGGCTAGAGCGACTCAAGTGAGTACTGTGGCTCATGGGCCTCTAGTTATTGAAATACTCATATTTGCAGCAAAAAGCAAGTTTCAAAAATGGACCTAAGTTCTAGCTGACATATTGATTTTTTTTTATTATTACAAGAAAATGACCTTTTTCTGAATTATAATTTAAACCCTTTTCGTTTCTGTTACAATGTTTTTATAACTGGAGGCTTTTCTTGCCTTGTTGTTCTGACAATTGATTTGTATTAAAATTCAGTATATTTATATATAGTTCTGTTTTTATCTCTTATTGATTTCTATTACAGATTCGCTTCAGACCATTGCTATGAACACAGAAGCCTCGGTTGACAATTAAGTCCAGGCTCTGTGACAGTGGAAACCTGAGGTGTCGCGTCCACTGTCAACTGGTGAAGAAGCATTACAGATGCACGTCTCTCATAGATCCATGGAAATCCACGCCCAAACAGGGCTCTTTGTGATATATCTCTGTCTGTCTGTCTGTCTGTCTGTCTGAGAGTCTGATATTTCATTTATTATCATCATATTGATTTCCTGTTTGTCTGAGTCCGAGAGAAGTGCCTATTTATAGTTTGTTATTTGATTTTATGTTGATTACAGGCAGGGATAAATTAATTTCCGCAGTTATACTACTATTAAGTTTCATGCTTGCTGTGGATTTGTGTATGATATTGATGTCTTTATTAATTATTGGAATCATTTTCCTCACAGTTGCTTGCGAATTAAACAGACTGAGAAACTTAATAGACATTAGTACATGTAACCATTTAATGTAGAAAAGATATTAATACATCAATACCGGTACATGTAACAAATTAATGACATTCTACAAGTACATGGTAAAATATCACAGAAAAGATGTTTGTTCCCGATAATTTTTTTACCCATCTAGTTAGGGTTTTTCATATTTTAGTAAAATTTCCAACCTAGCTGTTAATTGTTTGTTTTTAGGTTGGAATGTTAAGAGGTAAAACAATTTTTGTTTTTATTTTATAATACCAAGAAAAATGCATTCCAAATGATGAAAGTCCCAATTATACCTAAGGTAACCCAAAGTACAAATGTATGATTTCATGTTCCTTTTTGGTTCAAGTCCAAACAGTTCATAAAGTAGTTGCCCTGATGCATGTGTATATTTTTACTTAATGGCCAAGAAAAGGAGTTTATAATAATTTTAAATGAGGTCACTACTTCATAGGTGAATGAAAAATCCCCTTTTGGTTGTAGTATTTAATTTGTGGTTAAGATGTGATATAAGTTATGATTGATAAATGTAACAAGTGTTCTGATTGGTTCATATCTTGTTACTATATTTAAACATTCAGTTGGTAATGATATCATGGTTGTAATTGGTCAATCTGTTGTAGCTACATCCAATATGTTGTGATTACCAGTAGTCTGTTAGTTGATTTCCAATAATCTATAATTGTCTTTGGTTTGTATGTACATGTACATCAATTTAATTTGAAACAGGGTTGGTGATTCTTTTTTTTCCTCAGTTATTTACCTTTTTCATGACTACATAAATGTTTTTAATAGTTATTTAATTCCTTTTTCATGACAGAACTGACATAAATTATTTGACAGCATTAAATGAGAATTCATGATGATTCATCATTTCCTGCATGTACTTTTTAATTTCACCCTTGGAGATGATTAGAGATTGTTTTTTCTATAAAAAGTCTGGTTTCATAAATTTCTCTAACATTTTTCAGGGTAGCCCATACATATTTTAGAATGTAATTAGGAGTGTTCTGTAGATTAAATTAAGGTTTCAGAATTTTCATTTTCACCCTGGCGGCAAAATGGAGGTAAAAAAAAATGTTTTTTACTACAAACAAAATTGTGTACCTGAACTTTGATATTTTTACAATAGCCAGTTTGAAACTTGTTCATTTTGCATTATTTTGTCATTGAATTAGTAGATGTATAATTGTAAACTATACTTCAACACTGAACTACTATACAGAATGTAAGAGGAGTTATGCTACATACCGTATATACTCACCTTTGAGAACTACTATACAGAATGTAAGAGGAGTTATGCTACATACCGTATATACTCACCTTTGAGTTGGTCCGCCTATAAGTCAGTTGTATTTTTTAAGCTTATTCAAGAGAGATTCCAGGTTTCTAGAATACCTGTCTTTTTATAACTCACCTATAAGTCTGACACAGAGTTTTGGAAAAAGTTGAACTCCCAGATATCCTACTTATGGGTGAGTATATACGGTAAATTTATTTTTTATATAATTTTAAACATTCTTGGTGTTATTTCACCCATAAACAACGATAAAAACACAATCAAACTTTATTATCTTGAACTCAGTTTGACTATGATAATCTTCAAGATATATCTGAATTTAGATAACAGGGTAAAAACAAAGAAAAAGTGGTTGGGTCTTCAGTCTATCCCTGGTGTTCAAGATAAATTAAGTTCAGCTGTATTCCAAAGCTAGTGTCTTATTAAAATTAAAAATAATATTTTAAAATTATTTATTATGATTCAAGATTTAGGACAGAAATGTATTTTTTATGTGCAATTTTGTAGTTCCTGTCTGATTTTTTTTAATTTACCCCTGTTGTGATTTAGCAGCAAAAATTTGTTTTCATTTCTAAAGAGTTAGAGAGTAATTTTATTTTTAATATTGATACAAGTTTATCATCACAATTGACAAGTATACCTGTTTTTTCATCGTCTAAATATTTACTACTGTGTTCGCAATGAGCATCTCTTTTGGAGGATAAACTAGATTTTTTGTGCCTAATAACCTGTACTTACTGTAAGTCACTATTTAAAATGACTTGATACATACTCTTTAACAGATTCACACAAATGTAAATTTTCATCAATACATGTACTAATGAAAAAAAAATGTGAAAAATATGCATTCATTGGTATAAGAAATTTGTCCAATTTGAAAAAACAGTTTTTAAACTAAGTGAGAAAAGTTACAAAAAAGTTATATCTAGTTTAAGACAGAGTTTGGAATCACCTCTTCAAATTAAGGTATAATTTAGTAATAATTTTAAAGTTACAAACTAAAGGTACTGTGAGCAATGAGCTCACTAAATGATACCCCCCTCCTCCTATATGGTTATAATGGCAAAGTCCATGTTTTACTGTGGCTGGGAAACCCAAAATATGTGTCGGATCAAAAAGTAAAATAGGAAGTGCACAATGGCAATATGTAATAATGATTCTGTGATAGTTTCATTAAATTTCACTCGGTTGTATAAGAAGAGTTGCGGATAAGAGATGGGTACCCCAAAGCGTAACAGACAGACGGACGTACAGCTATATGTACAGACGGACGAACGGACATACCGATTACAGTATACCCTCCCACTTTTCAAGCAGGGGGTATAAAAAAGTTGCCTGGCAAAAAAGGGAATACCTGCAAAGCAGAGCTCCTCCTCAAAGAAAAGTCCATTGATTCTGATATAAGTTATGATTTAATAACTTCTTCCACGAGAAACAAAGAGGATAGGACTATGGGGTAGGAACTTTTATTAAACACTCACCCACATAAGGGGGGGGGGGGTGAAATATATAAATACAGAGTAATGTAAAATATAACAGAGTGAAAAACAGTAGTTTATATAATACAGTACTGGTAGTACATCTTGTGCTAACCTAGCCACTAGTTTTAGTAAGAACTTCTATTAACAAAAGTATAATAAAACACTCTAAATTTCAGACATATAGATCAGCCTAACTAAGTCCTATAGATAACTGGGGACAGTGGAGAGTTGTACTTTTGCTAACAAATTAAGTAAACAGTTGCTTATTTGTAATTTATCCCATGTTTACCCCGTTATCCCATGGATATGACTCATTGGACATTTTTAGCTCACCTGAGCTGAAGGCTCAAGTGAGCTTTTCTGATCACATTTTGTCCGTCGTCTGTCTGTCTGTCCGTCTGTAAACTTTTCACATTTTCGACTTCTTCTCAAGAACCACTGTGCCAATTTTGGCAAACTTGGTACAAAGCATCCTTGGGTGAAGGGGAGTTTAAATTATTAAAATGAAGGGCTAAGTCTTATCACAAGGGGAGATAATCAAGAAAAGACAAAAATAGGGTGGGGTCATTAAAAAAATCACAATGGGGAAAAGTTTTACATAGAAATACATAGGAACAATCTTTACAAATTTTTTTCTCAAGAACCACTGGGCCAGAAAAGCTGAAACTTATGTGGAAGCATCCTAAGGTAGTATACATTCTAAATTGTTCAAATCATGACCCCTGGGGGTAGGACGGGGCCACAATAGGGATTCAAATTTTTTTCATAAAAATATATAGGAAAAATCTTTAAAAATCTTCTTCTCAAGAACCACTGGGCCAGAAAAGCTGAAACTTATGTGGAAGCATCCTGGGGTAGTGTAGATTCTAAATTGTTGAAATCATGTCCCCCGGGGGTTGGGCGGAACCACAATGGAAAATCAAAGTTTTACAAAGAAATATATAGGAAAAATCTTTTAAAATCTTCTTCTCAAGAACCACTGAACCAGAAAAGCTGAATCTTATGTGGAAGCATCCTGGGGTAGTGTAGATTCTAAATTGTTCTAATCATGACCCCTGGGGGTAGGGTGGGGCCACAATGGGGAATCAAAGTTTTACATATCAAATATATAGGAACAATCTTTAAATATTTCCTTCTCAAGAACCACTGGGTCAGGAAAGCTGAATCTTATGTGGAAGCATCCTGGGGTAGTATAGATTCTAAATTGTTCTAATCATGACCCCTGGGGGGTAGGGTGGGGCCACAATGGGGAATCAAAGTTTTACTTATCAAATATATAGGAACAATCTTTAAATATTTCCTTCTCAAGAACCACTGGGTCAGGAAAGCTGAAACTTATGTGGAAGCATCCTGGGGTAGTGTAGATTCTAAACTGTTCAAATCATGACCCCCAGGGGTTGGGCAGGGCCACAATGGGGATTCAAATTTTTACATAGAAATATGTAGGAACAATCTTTGAAAATCTTCTCAAGAACCACTGCACCAGAAAAGCTGAAACTTATGTGAAAGCTTCCTTGGATAGTGTAGATTTTAAATTGTCAAAATTATGACCAGTGGGGTAGTGTGGGGTCACAATTATGTATTACAAGGGGGAAATCTGGTAAAAAACAGCATGGTCAAAGCTTCTCAGGTAAGCGATGTGGCCCATGGGCCTCTTGTTTTGATATCCCACTATTAAGTTTAGCCGTGACGTCATAATGATTTTTGCAGTCCATTCTAAAAACAGTGTAAAACATTGGCCGTGAAATATTAAACATAGGATAAAAAGAATCTCCCATGATTTGTAGTTGGATATGACTTTTATTCAACTCGTTGTGGGTTTTTATCCCCTTGCCAAGGCCGGGGATAAAATACACACAACTCGTTAGATAAAAATCCAACTACAAATCATGGGAGATCCTATATTTATTTGCTATACCAGGTACATGTAATTATTTGTTATTACTAAAGCCAGAGTGTAAATCAATGTTCACAAAACTGCTAAAGCAGTGGATCATTTTTCTACATATTTTTCTTTGGAAATGGGAATTGACAATTAATTAAAAGCTTCCATTTTTTGACATTTTTAAAAAGCCTAATATAATTATTTTTTTTTATTTAATAATTAATGTATTGTCTGTAATTATGGCTTACAAATGATGTGACTAGGTCAATTTAGATACATGCAGTTTTATGTATTGCTCAATTCACATTTTGTACCCGTGCAGAGGATTTTTTTCCTCTTTAAATTTAAATATATTTAAAACGAATTTTAAAGATTTTATTGGATTTGATATTTCTATTGGATGTATATGTTAAGTTGACTACAGCTTGTTATGTTGACAATCAGAAAGGTATATGGCTATAATTGGAGAAAAATCATTCACCACTGATCTTTCACTGAATAAATTAGATTCCAGTTTACTTACAATATCATGTTAATGAATTGTTGTTTTGAATGTCTGTCGTTAATACAAATATGTTATATTACACCGTTTATTGTTACTTTTTTGTGAAAAAAAAATTCAAGTGGGCTCTTCTATTGATATTGAACTAATATACAGTCTAACTTTGTTATCTCAAACCTGATGGGACTGAGAAAAAACTTTGAGATGTCTGAGGATTCAAGATATCAAAGGTTATATACTTAAAGACTATGTGGTTGGGACTGCCACATCACTTTGACATATCCATGGTATTCGAGATATTGGAGTTTGAGATACCAAAGTTCATCTGTATATCATTCCAGTGATAAGAGAGAGAGAGAGTAATAGAGATTATCATCCCATCTCAAAAGTCCAGAGAAAGGGGAAAAAACTCTTTTCATAGATTTTGCAGTGGTGTGTTGCAACAATTCTGCCAGTCATTAGATTTTGCTGTGGTGTGTAGCAACAATTCTGCCAGATCTCAAGAGCCTCTTGGCCAATTTTATTAAATCTGTCACATACTGTGAAATCACTAATTTTTGTAGGGTTAATTTTCGTTGTTTTCAAGGTATGAAGAGACCCATGAATTTATGTCCACCACGAAATGTAAAATGTCATCTGTATAACTAACTCAACAATTCTTCATCCACGAAATTGAAACTCCAAGAACCCGTATTATTACTTCAAACGATGAAAATTTGACCCCAAGAAAATATGTGATTTCACAGTACTTGTATTTATTCCTAAAGAGTTTTCATTGATTCTGTAAAATAGGGCAGTGACCCTTAAACAAGAGGAGACAATAAGAGTTGAATGTAATGGTTACTTGGTTACTCAAAAATGGCCTCCTAGAACCACTTGGCTGATTATTACCAAACTCGAACTTATGGATGAGGCTATGATGGAGATAAAAATTTTTCATGACAGCATGATATTGGACAATGGGTGTGGTAATAAGGACACTTAAAGATTATCAATCCTTGTCAGTTCATCTTAGGAAGTTAGGATCTCAGTATATACTCACTGAAAAGTAGGTCACAGTGACTTTATCATAATTCATGGTTATGTTATTCCAAAACGTGCCATCAATAAAATCAAGTTCTTACCATAAATACTATGGTAAACCAGTTCTGTCAATATTTTAAAATGAGCTACGTTATTAGACTAAGTATTAATAGCATCAAAATCAGAACTGTCTCGGTCTATATAAATTGAGCTGCTACTACCATATAAGCAGAATTTTTAGTGAAGAATGAATTTTGACATTATAAGCAAGACTGCCGAGATTGCTAGAATTGAATATCACTAAAAGTTAATTCTATTTTATTTGTAATACTAATAGTTTCTTTAGTGAGATTTTGAAATCACTAAAATTACATCTCGCTAAAAATGTTTTTAAAGGACAAATTGCTAAATTTGCGTCTCAACTAGAATTTCCACTTATACAGTGATAAATAGCGTTGTAATCAGTGCTGCGATACTGTTGTTACTACTTCAACTCTGTCCAAGGTTGTACCTAAAAGCATGCTAAAATTTTAGCAGTACTTGGACAGCAAGAAGGACAAACACATGTGACCCATCCATATTATTCAGAAGAAGAAGTCAATTGCTTAACTATGATATTTATTTCTGAGAAATAAAAATATAAAATTGTAAAATAAAACATTATTAACATTCTGAATCTTATTGAGAAAAAAAAATCAATTAAAGCAGCCTAATACTTCTAAATCTATTGACTTCGTTTTTGCCATTTGTTGTGATTTTAATTACTGTTTAGGAAGTTTAGCGAGTGGACTAGATGTTAGTACATCCTGCAGCCTATAGAACCACAGTTTTCCTATCTTGTCAATGATTCCCTGGATTTCTCTCATTCTCTTGGTTTTCTTCCTCTCATTGTTTTGTAATAAAGTTTGAATGAAGCTGATTGATTATTTTGCCCAAGTGAAAAATAAATTTCACAAAATTAAAAAGTTTGCATTCTTTAATTATCACAGTCTGAATCAGTCTATTCCATTCCCTCACAGATGTTAATGAGCACCACTCTGTAGAAAGTCCTGCAAAGAGAAAGACAAATTGACGATTTAAGTCGTACAAAATAAATAGGCCAAAATTGTTCTGCAGCTCAATTTTTTTTTTGTTTTTGTTTTTTTTTTTTTGAGAAATTTATTTTAACTTTCACATAAATTACACAAATATGAAACAGACGTATATATAAATACATATACAAGAAGGTTTATGATAAAGCAAAAACAAAAAAAGAAATAATAAAAACTAGTGTGAAAGTTTATGTAGAAAGAGAGAGGGGGGAGAGAAAGGGGGGAAGAAACGAGAAAGTGAGTGAAACATGAGAGGGCACACACTTTATTGAACAGGTTACAGTAAGAAAATTTTAAAGTTTTTCAACTATTTCCTGCCAGTGTCTTTCAAATTCATCATATTTACAATTTTTTAACAAAAGAAATTTTTCTACTCTAATTCTTTCAGTAATAACAATTTTTAAAGTCTCAACGTTTAATTTTATAGTTTTGGCATACTTACTTGCAAAAATATATTGTTTTATAATCAGAATAAGTAGATTTTCTAACTTGTAGAAGTTTCTGTTTAAAAATTTACCAAATAAAATTGATTGTCTATCAAAACAAACAGACTTAATTGTTCACTTTTTGCAAGATCCATTCTTCAATCTCTAACCATTCTTCTTTTACAACAGAACATTCAACAAAAAGGTGATCAATAGTTTCAATATCTTTCTCACAGAAGGAGCATAATGGTGAATCAATAAGTCTTCATTTAAAAAGATGGCAATTAGTAGGAATTATTCTATGTAAGATTTGGAACTGTAACCATTGAAGTTTTGATTCTTGGGTTGTTTTGAAAGGTAGCTCAAAAATTTTTTCCCAGTATTTTTCACTAAATTCTTCCCCATTTTCACTCCATTTTATAACTGAAGTTATACTGCCCTTTTTATTCCTAATGAGAACATTATACATATCATTACACCCTTTTTTACTCTTTAAGAAAATTTCAAGGCTGGATGGAAGCATTGGTCTAGGCGTTGGCTTTATTTCATAATTCTTAGAACATGATAGCCTCTTTCTAATTGCTGTTCTTAGTCTGGCATATTCAACATAGTTTGTATTTACCTTCAAATTATTTTGAAAAAAATCAAAACTGTAAAAGTTTCCATTTAAATCTAAGAAATCATTGATAAAAACAAAGCCCAAATTAAAGTAACTTTTGATGAAAATTGACTGGCCACCAATGGTAACTTCTGGATTATGCCATATGTGTTCTTGGAGAGGACTTAAATCAGCTATAGCTTTAGCCTGATTTACTTTACACCAGCTATAGAAAACATCTTTCCAAAATTTATTTTTCGTGGTACTACTCAGATCCTTAATAAAGTCAATTCCAAACATCCAAAGATGATTTATACTTATTCCCAATTCTGCTTCAAGTAATTTAACCCATTTTGCACTTGAGCACATAACCCGCCTTATCCAACTAGATTTCAATGATGTAACAAAATTTTTATAGTCTATCATTTTTAAGCCCCCAAATTTATGCTCTTGAATCATTACATTTTTCTTGACTTTATGATTGTTATTATTCCATAGAAAATTATACAAGTCTTTTTCAAAAGCACTCATGACATCATCGTTAGGATTTGGTAAAGTGAGTACAAGATGATTTAGTTTAGGAATTAGTAATGTTTTTATTACAGTCGGTCCTCCAAGAGGAGTAAGTTTGCGAGCTTTCCATTGTGACATGGTTTTTTTAATTTCTTCAATTTTTAATTTGTAATTAATATCTACCATCTCATGCAAATCAACAGAAAACTTAACACCTAGTAAATCAAAGGATGTAGTACTGGGATCCAACTTCCATCTTGAGTGATGAAATACATCTTTTGAGAATTTTTTACTTCCAATCCAGACTAATTTAGTTTTAGAAAAATTTATTTTTAGACCCGAGATTGATGCAAAATAATCTAACACTCTTGTAATTCCATCCAATGAGCTCGGAGAGCCATCAGAAATAACTGATGTATCATTTGCGTATTGGGACAACTTGTATTCTTCACCATCAATAGTTATACCTTTAATATCCTTATTTTTTCTAATTAAAATACCTAAAATCTCTGCACAAAGTAAAAAAAGGTACGGTGAAATAGGATCACCTTGTCTACAACCCCTTTCAGGGTAAAAATACTGAGACACAATCCCATTTTGAATAACACAGGACTTTATATTATTATAGAAACATCTTATCCAATTTCTAATTGACTGACCAAAATTGAAGAAACAAAGTGTTTGATTTATGAAGTTCCATGAAATGGTATCAAATGCTTTTTCAAAGTCGATAAACATTAAGAGACCAGGTATATTTCTTGACTCTGCTTGGTGCATAATATCATATATTAGTCTAATATTTTCACCAATAAATCTACCTTTAATAAATCCTGTTTGGTCCCCATGTATTAGCTTATCTAAGAATTTTTTCTTTCAGCAATGCACCCTGAGGCTAATTTATATACAACATTTAAGAGGCTAATTTTTTTCTTTTATCATTTTGTTTTAGGATACAAAATTTCTCTTAATAACCCTTTACTTTGCATTTAAAGCAAATGATGATATGGCATGTACAGGCCTCCATATCAATACAATCTAAAATATAGTTTACCAATAGACCATTATACTGTTTAAGCAAAAATTTTAGCAAGGATTCAATTTTGGCATTTGTAGTGAGGGTGTTGAGATTGCTAAAATTGAATTTTGTTAAACAAGTCATTCCCACATTTGAGGTTTCTTTTATCTTTCAAGACATGACAGAATCACTAGTATTACTTTTTAGTAAAATAAATAATACATGTACTTCTAAATCTATACTGATCACATTTTGTCCGTCTAGCTGTCTGTCTGTCTGTCTAGCTGGCTGTCCATCTGTAAACTTTTCGCATTTTCAACTCAAGAACCACTGGGCCAATTTTAACAAATTAAAACTTGGTAAAAAGCATCCTTGGGTAAAGGGGAATTTAAATTGTGAAAATTAAGGGCCATGCCCCCCCCCCCCCCCCCCCCCGGGGTCATGATTTTTACAATTTAGAATCTACAATACCCTAGGATGATTCCACATAAGTTTCAGCTTTCCTGGCCCACTGGTTCTTGAGAAGAAGATTTTTTAATGACCCCATCCTATTCTTGTCTTTTCTTGATTATCTCCACTTGGAAAGGACTTAATTTTAACAATTCAAAGTCCCCATTGTCCAAGGATGTTTTGTACCAAGTTTGGTTAAAAGTGGCCCAGTGGTTCTTGAGAAGAAGTTGAAAATGTGAAAAGTTTACAGACAGATGGACGGACAAAATGTGATCAGAAAAGCTCACTTCGACTCAGGTGAGCTAACAAAACCGACAAGAAATATTTCTTAGTATTTTTTTTTGATTTCAACAAAAATAAGCGTAAAAAAACTGGGAAATATAAATACAAATGGAAAATATCAGATGCATTTAAATATCTTTGGATTAGAAGATCCAAACGAAAGAGATATCCTTCTTTGTTTTCCAGGGGTTGAAAAAAACCTGGGTGCTATTTCAGAAATTATAAGCATTTAATCACATACTTAAAAAATCGCACCTTCTTTCAGTTGTAGTTTCCAGCTTTGAACTATTTTGAAGACAATGCCTGGACAATCACTTTCCAAAATGTCTCTCATTCAGAAGCCATTTCATTCATTTAAAAGTTTGGGACCATATACAACAGCTAGCTGATTTGTGACCAAACTGTTACTTCTTGAACAAGAGGCCCAGGGGCCACAGCGCTCACCTGAGCACATCGGCTAGGAAAAAGCACATATCAGATCAGAACTGAAAGTTTACTAAGGTGGGGGGGGGGGGCTTGAATTTTAACACCCCCCCCAGGGGATCATAATTTGAAATAACTAGAATCTACACTACCTGAGGATGTTTCCTTATAAATTCAACTAATCATGGCTTTGAAATACTTGAAAAGAAAATTTTAAAAGGTTGCCCTATATATTCCTATGTTAAATTTTGATCAGTCATTTTGGCCCCACCCTACCCCCAGGGGTCATGATTTGAACAAACTTGAATCTACACTACCTGAGGATGATTCCATATGAGTTTCATCTTTCCTGGTCCAGTGATTCAGGAAAAGAAGATTTTTAAAGATTTTTCCTATAAATTCCTATGTAAAACTTTGATCGGCCATTTTGGCCCCACCCTACCCCTGGGGGTCATGATTTGAACAAACTTGAATCTACACTACCTGAGGATGAATCCACATGAGTTTCATCTTTCCTGGCCCAGTGGTTCTTGAGAAGATTTTTCCTATATATTCCTATGTAAAACTTTGATCGGCCATTTTGGCCCCACCCTACCCCCGGGGGTCATGATTTGAATAAACTTGAATCTACACTACCTGAAGATAATTCCATATGAGTTTCATCTTTCCTGGCCCAGTGGTTCTGGAGAAGAAGATTTTTAAAGATTTTTCCTATATATTCCTATGTAAAACTTTGATCGGCCATTTTGGCCCCAACCTACCCCCGGGGGTCATGATTTGAACAAACTTGAATCTACACTACCTGAGGATGATTCAGTATGAGTTTCATCTTTCCTGGTCCAGTGATTCAGGAAAAGAAGATTTTTAAAGATTTTTCCTATATCTTCCTATGTAAAACTTTGATCGGCCATTTTGGCCCCACCCTACCCCTGGGGGTCATGATTTGAACAAACTTGAATCTACACAACCTGAGGATGATTCCACATGAGTTTCATCTTTCCTGGCCCCGTGGTTCTTGAGAAGAAGATTTTTAAAAAATGCCATTAATTTTTCTCTAATTCATAATTATCTCCCCTTGGAAAAGGGCGTGGCCCTTCATTTGAACAAACTTGAATCCCCTTTACCCAAGGATACTTTGTGGCAAGTTTGGTTGAAATCGGCTCAGTGGTTCTTGAGAAGAAGATGAAAATGTGAAAAGTTTACGACAACAACGACGACGACGACAGACGACGGACAAATTTTGATCAGAAAA